TGTGTGTGTGTTGTTTTGTTTGTGATTGTTGTGTTTGTGTGTGTGTGGTTTGTGTGTGTGTGTTTGTTTGTTTGTGTGTGTTTGTTGTGTGTGTGTGTGTGTGTGTGTGTGTGTTTGTGTTGTGTGTGTGTTTGTTTGTTTGTGTTTGTTGTGTGTTTGTTTGTGTGTGTGTGTTTGTGTGTGTGTTTTGTGTGTTTTGTGTGTGTGTGTATGTGTGTTTGTATGTGTGTGTGTTTTGTAGGTGTGTATGTGTGCGTGTGTGTGTGTGTGTGTGTTATGTTGGTCTGTGTGGTAAGGATATGTAATTATAAAAGTAAGGATATGTAATTATAAACAGCTTGATAAAGAGGGATAAGTGATAAACAGAATTATTAACGATCTTTTTTGACTTGATAAATATGGATAAGGCAGTATCTGTGTTATTTATTGTTGTTATCATTATCATTACTATAGTTATTATTATCAGTGCCTCATTTTCTAAACACACTTTTATTTTCTCTCTCTTCTTTCTTCCCATTATCTCATTTCTGTTTTCTTTTTCTTCCTCCTTTTCTTCCTCTCCACTTTTCCTTTCCCTCCCTCCCTGTTTCCACACTCTCTCCCCCCTCTTCTTCCCTCTCTCCCTTTTACCTACTCTCCTCCTCCTCCTACCCTCTCCTTCCTTTTCTCTTCCTTCCCTCCTCCTCCTCCTCCCTTCTTCCTTCTTCCTCTCCTCCCCTCTTCTACCTACCCTCCTCCTCCCCTCCTCCCTCCTCCCCTCTTCTTCCTTCCCTTCTCTTCTCCCCTCCTCCTTCTCTCCCTCCCTCCTCGCCCCCCTCCTCTCCTCCTTCTCCTCCTCCCTCTTCTTCCTACCCTTCCCTTCCCTCTCCCTCTTTCTACCTAACCTCCTCCCTCCCTCCCTCGCTCCCTCCTACCCTCTTCTCCTCCCCCTCTTCCTCCCTCCTCCTTCCTCCCCCTCCTTCTTCCTCCTCTCCTCCTCCCTCTTCCCTCCCCAGACACCACCACCACCGCCTCGACGGACTGGACCTCGACTGGGAGTACCCCGCTAACCGAGGAGGAGCTCCCGAGGACAAGGAGAACTTCGTCTACCTGGTTAAGGTGTGTTTATCTTCTTCTTCTTCTCCTTTTCCTTCTTTTTATGTTTGGTATTACTGTTATTAAGGTATGTTTGTTTGTTTGTTATAGAGTTTTTTTTTATGTTTCAATTCCAGTTTCAATTTTGATCCCATAACGCATTCACGCATACGATCTGCAATGCCAAATAAGGCTGAGTAAATGATTTTGATTTTAATTTCGATTTCAATTTCCCACGCACCACCCCCTCCCACTCCTAAACACACTTCCTCTCAATCCCTAACAACACCCCCCTCCCTACCTCTCCCCTCCCGCTCCCCTACCCCCTTTCCCACTCACAAATTCACCCCCTCCCACCCCCCAAATTCCCCCCTCCACTCCCACTCCCTCCCCTCCCACTTCCCCCCACCCTTTCCCCCACCCCCCACCAAACCCCCAAAAAAAACTCACCCTCCACCCTCTCCTCCTCTCCCCCCCCCAACCCCCACCACCACCACCACACAGGAGCTCCGCGAGGCCTTCCGCCCCTACGGCTGGATGCTGACCGCCGCCGTGGCCGCAGGGAAGTCCACCATCGACACGGCCTACGACATCGACGACCTGGCCAACAGCCTCGACTTCCTGCACATCATGGCCTACGACTACCACGGCAAGTGGGACCGCCGCACAGGCCACAACGCGCCGCTCTACTCGAGGGAGGACGAGCCCGAGGAGGAGAAGATGCTCAATGTGGTAGGCCTATGGGGATTTTTTTTTCACTTTCTTCTTATTATTATTTATTTATTTTATTATTATTTTTTTTTTTGGGGGGGGGAAGGGCTCTTAGGGATGAGGTTAAGGGAGTTTTTCTTCTTTCTTTTCATGTGCAAAGGATATTTTCTGATTGAAAAAGGAAATGATAATGTTAGGTTAGGTTAGGGCTATGGATGTAGGCCTATGTGATTTTTTCTTTTTTTTTTTTTTCCAAAGAGCTCAGTGGGAGTTTTTTTTTTATGTGTATAGGATATTTTCTGATAAAAAAAATAAATAAAGTTCTCTCTAGTAGGCCTATGAGATATTTCCGATTTTTTTAAAGGATTTGTTCTTTTTCTAAAGTTTTCACGTGTAGAGAATATTTCCAAATTCCTAAAAAAAATCCCACCAAATAAAACACAACATTTTTAAAAAAGAAAACGTTACCTCAACCACCCTCTCCCCCTCGAAGGCCTCAACCCTCAAGGTCTACCTCGACGAAGGAGCACCTCCCGAGAAGCTGGTCCTCGGCCTAGGATTCTACGGAAGGACCTTCAACCTCGCGGACCCCCAGGAGAACGGCATCGCGGCGCCCACCCTCACGACCGCCCTCGCCGGACCCTACACCAAGGAGGAGGGTTTCATGGGCTATAATGAGGTGAAGAGAATTTTTTTGTTGTTTTGTTATTTATCTTTTGTCCGAATATTTATCTGTCTGTTTCTATTATTTATCTGTAACTCTCCGAATATTTATCTATTTTTATTCTGTCTATTTCTATTATTTATCTGTAACTGTATCGAATATTTATCTATTTCTTATGTATCTGTGAATATTTATCTGTCTATTTCCATTATTTATCTGTCTATTTCTATTATTTATCTGTATTTGTCCGGATATTATCAGTCTATTTCTATTATTTATCTGTCTTTGTCCGAATATTTTCTGTTTAATTCTGTTATTTATCTATTTGTCCGAATATTTTCTGTCTATTTCTATTGTTTATCTGTAACTGTCCGAATATTTTCTTTCTATTTCTATTATTTATCTGTATCTGTCCGAATATTATCTGTTGGTCTGTTTCCTTCTTCTTCTCCTCCCTTTCCTTTCCCTCCTCCAGGCTTTTATCAGTGTCTGGGGCAGGGGAAGGAGGGAACAATACTACCCACCCACCCTTCAAATAGCCTTTCTCTCTCACCCTTCACGCCCATCCTCTCCTTTCACACCCACCCACCCCTCTCTTTCCCACCTTCACAACCTCCCCCTTCAACCCTCACACCCTCACACCCTTCGCCACCCACCCTTCCCCCTTCCTCCACTCCCACCCTCACACCCCACCCTCCCCCTTCCTTCCCCCTTCACACCCTCCCCCTTCCCCTTCCCACCCACCCTCACAACCTCCCCCTTCCTCCTTCACTCCCACCCTCACACCTCACACCCTCCCCTTCCTCTTCCCCTTCACACCCTCCCCCTTCCCCTTCCCACCCACCCTCACAACCCCCCTTCCTCTTCACTCCCACCCTCACACCCTCACACCCTCCCTTCCTTTCCCCCTTCAACCCTCCCCCTACCCCCTCCACACCTCCCCTTCCTCTTCACTCACACCCTCACCCCTCCCCCTTCCACCCTTTTCCTCCACCCCTCCACCCTCACCCCCCCACACCCACCCATCCCACCCAACCCTTCACACCCCCCCCACCCAACCCAACCCACCCTTCCAACCACCCCCTCTAAACACCCCCTTCTCAACCCTTCCAGATCTGCGAGAAACAGACCACGGAGAAGGGCCTGTGGACCCTCGTCTGGCAGAAGACCCACCAAGTCCCCTACATGATCCGAGACAACATGTGGATTGGCTACGACGACCCTATCTCCGTCAGCCTCAAGGTCGCCTACGCCCAAAAGCTCGGTCTGGGCGGGGTCATGGCGTGGGCGATTGACACGGACGACTTCCAGGGCGTCTGTAGCGATACCAGGATGAAGTGAGTTGTGCGAGAGGGTTTGGGGGTGGGTGGGAGGGAAGGGGGAAGGAAGGAAGGGGTGATGGGATGGTGATGTGATGGGGATGATGTGATGTGGTGTGGTGTATGTGATGTGTGTGATGTGATGTGATGGTAATGGTGATGTGATAGTGATGGTGATGGTGATGATGATGGGATGATGGTGTTGGTGGTAATTAGAGTGATGATGATGGTGAGGATAATGATAATAATGATGATAATATGAGTGATGATGTTGATGATAATGACAAGAATGATAATGATGATAGTAGCAATGATAATAATGATGATGGTAATGATGATAATGATGATAGTAGCAATGATAATAATGATGATGGTAATGATAATAATGATAGATAATAATAGAAATAATAATAACAGCAATAATGATAATAATAATAATAATAATGATAATAATAATAATAATAATAATAATAATAATAATAATAATAATAATAATAATAGCAATGTTAATGATAATAAAAAACATGATGATAAATATAATAATGATAGTAATAATAAAAGAAATAATAATAATAGTAATAACTAAAGAAATAACAATAATAATGAATATCAAAATGATAATAATAATAATAATAATAATGATAATAAAACAGCAACTATGATGATAATAATAATAACAAAATAACAAAAGCGAAAATGATAATAACAATCATGAGACGCTGATGATAACAAAAACAAACAACACCAACACCAATCAACATTGCGATGACGTCAATACCAATGACGAAACTGATAAAAAACAGAATAATAACTATAATAATAATAATCTTTCCAAAAACAGAATAATAACATAATAATATAAAATCTTCCCCAAAAAACAATAATAACCATAATAATAATAAAATCTTTCCCCCCCAAAAAAACAGAATAATAACCATAATAAAATCTCCCCCCCAAAAAAAAAAAAAAAAACAGAATAATAACCATAATATAATAAAATTTTCCCCCCCCAGGTACCCCCTCCTCCGCGCCATCAACAAGGCCCTCACCGCCAATATGAACGAGAGGCCTAGCGAGACTCCTAGGCCTACCAAACCGAGCCTTGATGACGACGACTTTGATGACAGGTTCGACGACAGCAACACCTTGGACAGCCGGGAGCACGAATCTGGAAGGTGAGAATGTGAGGGTGGAGGAGGAGGAGTGAGGAGGAGGAGAGGGAGAGGGGGATGGAGGAGTGAGGGGGAAGGGGGGAGGAATGGAGGTGGGGGGAGGAGAGGGAGGGGAGGAATGGAGGAGAGGGAGGGGAGGGGGGAAATGGAGGTGAGAAAGTGAGGGGAGGAGGAATGGAGGTGTGAGGGGGAGGAGAGGGAGAGGGAGAGGGGGGGGATGAAGGAGTGGGGAGAAGGGGAGGAATGAAGGAGGAGGGGGAGAGAGGGGAGGGGAGAGGAGAGAGGAGGGAAGGGGAGGAGAGGGAGGTGGAGGTGGGAGGGGGGGAGAGGGAGGGGGAAGGAATGGAGGAGTGAGGGGGAGGGGAGGGATAGGGAGATGGGGAGTGAGGGGGATAGGGAGGGGAGGAATGGAGGAATGTGAGGAGGGGAAGGGAGAAATGGAGGAGTGAGGGAGAAGGAGAGGGGGGGGAGGGAGGAATGGAGGAGTGAGGGGGAAGGAGAGGGAGGGGAGGGAGGAATGGAGGAGTGATTGGAATGGAGGAGTGAGGGGAGGAGTGGAGTAGGAGAAGGAGTGGGAGAGGAAGAGGGGGGGGGGTGAGGAAGACGAGGGAAGGAAGAAATGGAGGAGTGAGAAAGAAGGAGAGAAGGAAAGTGAGTGTAGGGTGGGGTGGGAGGGGAGGGAGAGGGGAAGGGAGGAAGGGAGGAGTGAAGGGGAAAGAGGAAGGGAAGGATAGGGAGGAGGGATAAGGAGAAGAGGGAAGAAAGAAATGGAGGAGGGGAGAGAAAGAAATGGAGTGTGGGGTGGTGGGAGGGAGAAGAAAGAGGGGTGAAGGGAAGAGGAAGACAGTGAAGGAGAGATGGGGAAAAAGGGAGGAAGGATTGAGGGAGGGGGAGAAGGAATGGAGGGGGGAGCGGAATTGAAATTGAAATTATTTCGATTATTTCATCCTCTGATGAGTATCGAAGTGTCGAAAATCAACTTCATTTCTTATAGTGGCTGTTTCACTTTTAATTTTACTGTTTCTGCGTTATTCTCTTAGACATAACTGTTATAGATTAAGAAAAGACATAAGTTACACGTTACTCTGTTTGTGTTTTATGCGTTGTTCTCTTAGATATAACTGTTATAAGATTAAGAAAGCACCATCCTATGGAATTTAAAGTTAATATCCTCTGTTATAAGATTAAGAAAGCACCATAACCTCCTATGGAATTTAAAGTTAATTCCCTTTGTTATAAGATTAAGAAAGCACCATAACCCTATGGAATTTAACGTCAATACCCTCTGTTATAAGATTAAGAAAGCACCATAACCTCCTGTGGAATACCCTCTGTTATAAGACCAAGATAATATCCTCTGTTATAAGAAAAGAAACCCTGTGGAATTAAACGGTCCTGTTATAAGATTAAGAAAGCGCCATAACCTACGGTGAAATTTAAAGTTAATATCCTCTGTTATAAGATTAAGAAAGCACCATAACCTACAGTGAAATTTTACGTTGATATCCTCTGTTATAAGATTAAGAAAGCGCCATAACCTGCAGTGAAATTTAAAGTTAATATCCTCTTACCTCCTGTGGAATTTAAAGTTAATTCCCTTTGTTATAAGATAAAGAAAACACCATAACCTCCTGTGGAATTTAAAGTTAATTATAAGATTACGCCATAACCTCCTGTGGAATTTAACGTTACCATCCTCATTGCAGACCATCCCGCGTCGGAGGCCGTGGAGGTTCAGCTGTGGCCACGCCTGCAGTCACGGTTTTGTTGGCACTCCTGCTTACTTCTTTGGCCGCTCGCTAAAGAGGTCTACGGTTGGCACTCCTGCTTGCGTCCCTTTCACAACGTCTCCAAGGCCTTTATTTTCGGATTCTTCGAGTTCTTTTTTTTTCCTTTTTTCTTCAACTCTTTCATTCTTTAAAGATTCTTTTTTATTCTTTTCTTTTTCCGGTCATGGACATGCATGTTCGGTTTAAAGTTCATTATATTCTCTTCATTATTTTTCTTCTCTTTCTTCAGAATCTACTCCTGCGTAAAATTTCAAGAAAAAAAGATACAACAGCATTTAGTAAATTCTTCCATTTTATGCCATGCTTCAAATCTCACTGGAGTTGCCAGCTACACTTTTTGTATATTCTTATTTGGTGCACTAAACCTTAAGGTATGAATGCATTCTTTGATATTACCACTTTTTTTCAACTATGATAGAACTATTAGTTTAACTGTGATTTTAGAGTTTATGACGTATTGTAATTAGATGAAATATCCAGTCATATCTGTACGGTGAAATGATTGGCCGATATCCTAACGGCAAAAATACGGAGGAACCAATCAGAGAGAAGAGAGAGTCAGCCGACGATTCCTATTGGCTGATTCAAGAAGGGCGGAGACAAGGGAAAAAAATGAGAATGGTCTTATTTTTTTTGGCAAATACATGGCAAATTTATATTTTTGGTTATCAGTGGAAGCAAAATCGATTCAAATTATGATTGGATTTTCTTATAAGAGGTTAGATTTTTTCACTGGACTGTAAATATAAATAAAATTATAATATTACTCACTATTGTGTTTTACAATTCCTATAATATGTAGTTACAATAGAGTTTGTCACTTTTATCTAATCAGAACAAATCGAAGAAAAAACATAGTAAAATGATAATTATTATGGTATCAGGAACAAGAATAGACAATTAATCTCTCTTTAACACAAATAATTATTTTATTCTACCCAGAACTTCAGAATTACGTACTATCAAGAATCTAAGTCTACCCCAAGTTCTACTCACTTCCTACTCTCTACATAAATACGCTTCAAATCTACCCTCTCATCTACCCCAAAGTAAAAGCATTATACCCCTTCAACTACCGTAATCTACCTAATTGTTTTGTGTGGTACAACGGTTAGTGTGTTGGTCTAGCAATCTTGCTGACCTGCGTTCGATCCCGCGCGCTGCCAGTGGATGGCCACCCCGGCCATTCCACACAGGGGGAGATTTAGAAGCAAAATAAAACAGACAGTATGTCACAGCAAAGAATATCCATTGTGACAAATGGAGTTAAAACTAAATCTTGAAAAAATCTTTGGAATCTTTAAACTTAAGTACCTCCACTCTACCACAGATTCCCTTCCACTCTACCTTAACTCTACCCCAAAACCTACTTAACGATCCCCGAAACACCATCAAAATATAATTAACTAATCTCTGGAAAAGGTAAAATGATAATAATGATGATAATAATAATAATAATAGATAAATAGATAAATAAATTCCTGTCCATTTTTTTTGTATAATTTTGGTGATAAGTAAGACTGATGGCGGTGGTAATGATTGTCACAGAAGTTTTGGTAATCCTAATGAGAATAATTAATGGTAGTATAAATAATGCTAATAATGGTAAGTTCTGACAATGATAATAGATATCATATTAACAATCACCCTCTCTTATTGAAGAGCTGATAGATAATGTCTATTTATTATTATTATTTTTTATGAGGATGAAGTCATCACAAATTTCATGTAGATTTCTGTGAAAGGAAAATTCATCTCTACCAGCGTAAAAAACTACACAATTACCAAGAACTTTGAAAGAAAGAAAAAAATACAACTGTGATCAACCGTCTATTGCCTGACTTTGAACAAACATTTATTCAACTAAACGCATAATATATCAGTTATATGATATACAAATTACATATGTGTCCGTTACATATGTATCATCTACAAATAACAGTTAGATAATGACATATAAATATTATATTAATTATGTTATATTGATAATTCATTATTAATTATTATATAAACATATAAACATTATATTGATTATGTTATATTAATTAACTTATCATTAATAATCGTATGTTATGTAGCGTTTAATATTCATCTACTTACACAAATTCCAACGAACACATACCAAGATCATTCTTAATGGTAAACAACAACAATGAATGGTAAAACTTCATTAATCCATTCGTTAAAATTGGAAATATTACCATCACAGTAATTGGTCTGTTTCTTTACGACATCCACCTCCCCCCCCCCTTATAATTTCAATCAAATGTTTAAAAACCCTCTCTATATATAAGAAAAAGAAAGAAACAACAACAGCAACAAAAAGAAAATAAGTGTTTTCTGTTGTTTTCGTTGTTTTTTCTTTTCTTTTCACCTAGCAAAAGAAAAGAAAAAATCTGCCAATGAAATAAATGTGATAAAAGGATGTCCTGTCTTTTTTCGGCTAAATATTCCTGAACCTCGGCTTTTAAAGTTAATATTCACTCTATAACCACTCAACTCAGTGATTATTTATATTTACTATCTGGCAACTTAAAATATATTCTAGACTTCTGGTAGACACCAACTCTTTATTCAATTAATATCCAAATACGAATTAATTATGCATCTATTCTTGCCATCACATTCCCTTATGTTGTAAAATTTGAATCGATAAAAAAAAAATAAAAATGGTATATTTAATTAGAAGTTGAGACATCTTAATTTCCACAAATAATTAATCTTGACCTTTCTTTGCCTTTATATTAATTATTGGTGAGAATCCAGCTGGAACACATGGGAAGTAGAGGAATGTAGGATATTTAACAATGAGAAAACAAGGTCCTGATAAGCACTTTTTCATACTAAAGTAAAAATAATAATAATAATAATAATAATAATAATCTTCATCAACAAGGCACCATCTTTGCAAATTCCCACTCTCTCTCTTTCTTCCTTCCTCTCTCTCTCTCTCTCTCTCTTCTATTCATCAACTCTTTGCAAATTCTCTCTCTCTCTCTCTCTCTCTCTCTCTCTCTCTCTCTCTCTCTCTCTCTCTCTCTCTCTCTCTCTCTCTCAAATTCCCACACACCTTTTCCACGTTACGTCCATTTCTTAAGAAAGATATGCAGTGCAGGAAATATTTCTTATCCTGAGGTTTGCACAATGATCTTTGCAATATGAGCCTTATCATCTCCGCCAAGAAGATTGTCCTTTGGTTAGCGTTGGTTTGTTTGTTCGTTGTTTTTTTTCACTTTCTTTTCAGCATTTTTCTCAAAACGTTGCACAAGGATGGAAAGACAGCTGTATATTTGATTTTATCTCATTTATTTTTCTTTTCCCTTTCTTTTTGTTCGTTCTATCACGAAATACCTGATTTTTCTGTTGTTTTCTTTTCAGGGCTTTTGCTTAAGCTATTTTCCTTTTTTTCATATCTACCTTGTTTTCATTTAAGAGCTTTTTAGAGTCATCCATATCAGCTCACCAGATATGTGATGGTGTACTGCTGTTAGTTATCTTTTCATCTTTTAGGAACCACAGACTCATTTGAAGTGCATAACCACGTGTAACACACTCGAGTTCGTGACCACATTCGCCTTCACACCGAGTGAACCCTTACTTCTACGGAAATCATGCGAATGCGATGGTGGAGCCTAGACTTCGGCTTAAGGTGCCTGAAACTTATTAATGAACCGTAACAGCGTCTGCATTTCAGTTAGGTTTTGCAAATATATTACTTGTATTGCAATTTTGTGTTGATTTTTACGTCATGATATACAGGGAATCATTGATTACTGATTAATTTCAATCAACGCCGAAACCATGGCGTCGCATTCGTATTATTTGCGGTAATGGCGGTGGCCTGTTCCTTAAGTACCTGTCGTGGAAATTCCAAAGTGACTTATCTCAGCCGGCAAACGTCAGTCTTTTAGGACAAAGTACAGTGACTTTAATATGTATCTGAGGACAAAGTACAGTGACTTTAATATGTATCTGCTCCGTATCAACTGACTATATAACTGTGATCAGTCTAAGGGTGCGTCCACACCAGTTGGAGACAAATTGGAAACATTGTGGGAGACACAATAGGGGGGACAATAAAGAGACATTCGGATACAACTCTCCTGAAATGTATTGGGACATGTCTGTTACAATGTTGAGAAACATGTCAGCAATAAGAGTCGACTCGGTGAAACTGTCCACACCATGTTGGTCTGTTGGCTGGTGTGAGGTCAGTGACACCACCTCGTCCACGCCAGGACTGCTAACATGTCGCCCAACAGATTCGTACCAACGTCTACAACGATCTTCCTCAACGGCTTGACAACTTGTTACCCAACTTGTCAGTCAGTCACTGATGTGGAGGCACCCTAAGAATGTAAAGGAGCGATAAACTACATTATCACCTCAAAAGCAACACGCTGTCATCACCCATCTTATACATAGATAATGTTTGTGGATAGGTATGAATGAGAACGGATATCTTCACAATACAAGAGGCGTATTTGACCGGTTTCGATTATATCTTCGTCAGAAATACATGTATTTCTGACGAAGATATAATCGAAACCGGTCAAATACATCTCTTGTATTGTGAAGATATTCGTGTCAACATGAATACGGTTCACTCGGCCATGCAGTCCACGCCACACTGTCAACGTCGACTTATCACAAAGGGGGAACATCTGTCACGGCTGTGTTCTAATGCGAGACTTCTGTTTGTTTGTCGAAAATCTTAAGCGCTGCCGAGAACAAGCATATCGTCATATTAAAATTCCAGATATGAAATGAAATATGTAGCATAAAAAGTGTATAATCTTGCTAAACATACATATATAGATACATAAGTATATATTTATATGTATATGTATGCAAAGAAAAACACAATACCGTGTTGATAATATGGAAGAAAAACCCACAATAAATCTAGTTTGTGCATTGTGGGTTTTTCTTCCATGTATATGTATATACACATATATGCATATCAATATACATATATATATATATATATATATATATATATATATATATATATATATATATATATATATATATATATATATGGAAGTAAAACCCACAATGCACAAACTAGATTTTGATGAAAGTGAGACAACAGTTTCTGAATCGTCCTCGATTCCATCTTCGGGTCTGAGGAGGCAAGGGAGAGTAAGCGGTATAAGAGGGAAAGGAGGAGAAGCACTCGGGAACCACTCGGCAGGTGAGGACAGGAGAACGGAAGCGAAGGGAGGTCAGGTCAGGTCGAAGGATCAGGGGGTCTATGTGACGGGTGACCGGCATAAGGGAGGAGACGAAGGATGTGGGAAGCGAGGAGGCTGTCGGCAGGAGAGAAACCGCTGTTCAAGTTGAAATTGGGCAGCAGCTTAATGAGAGAAGATTCCACCAGTCTGCGGGCATGGACATCAGCGGAAGGGAAGAGAATGCGTGCAGCTTTCCAGTCCATCTGATGGCCAGTGTCCCACTGATGGCAGAAGAGGGCGTTGTTGCTATGTCCCCTGGATACAACTTACTTATGCTGAGACAGACGCTTAGTGGGTTTTTCTTCCATATTATCAACACGTATCTTTGCATATATATATATAATATATATATATATATATAATATATATATATATATATATAATATATATATATATATGTGTGTGTGTGTAACATACATACATATGTACGTATATGAATATGTATATATATATACATATATATATGCACATATATATACATATAACATATAATTATTCATATTACTCATACGCCTTTGTTCTCATTCCTTGCT